GTTATAAGGCATGAGCACATGAGCTGGTCCTCTTTTGTGGGTTTGAATAAGAGATGTAGCTATGAGCCAGGTTGGGGGGACAGGTGGCATACAGAGTTGAACGTCGACATCGATATAGTCTACCAGCACTAAGCGTATGTGTATGAGAGGAGCGCGAGTCCTCGGAGGGTGTGAGAAAGCAATGCTCATTGGATAGAAGAGATGTGTTAGAGCTTGTTAAGAGAGTTTGGGGAGGGGGTCAAGGGGATCGTGATCGAAGGATGGCATCCTGGGGCCGTCGAAGGTTTCGCACAAGAGTGGTACGAAGTATCCCTGTTTGTTAATTTGCTTACGTAAGTCATACTGAAAAAACAAAAAAAAAATCCCCAAAACAACAAGAAAAAAAACTGTATTGGTATACACAAGAGTGTTCCCATAATATTATAATACTGTATTTTTACTGTACCTTTTCTATGTTTAGATATGTTTAGATACACAAGTACTTACCATTGTGTTCTAATTGCCTATGGTATTCAGTACAGTAATATGCCATACAGGTTTACAGCCTAGGAGCAATAGGCTGCATCATATAGCCTAGGTGTGTAGTAGGCTAAGTACACTCTATGATGTTGACACAATGGAAGTCGCCTAGTGATGTATTTCTCAGAATGTACTCCAGTTGTTGACAGGGTATGGTGGCTCATGCCTATAATCTCAGCACTTTGGGAGGCCATGGTGGGCAGATCACTTGAGGTCAGGAGTTCAAGACTAACCTGGCCATCATAGCGAAACCCTGTCTCTACTAAAATTATAAAAAATTAGCCGAGAGTGGTGGTGCACGCCTGTAGTTCTAGTTACTTGGGAGCCTGAGGGAGGAGAATCACGTGAACCTGGGAGGCAGGGGCTGCAGTGAGCCAAGATCATGCTACTGCACTTCAGCGTGGGTGACAGAGTGAGACTCTGTCTCAAAAAAAAAAAAAAAATTAGCTAGGAGTGGTGACTGTAATCCTAGCTAGTCAGGAGCTACTCGGGAGGCTGAGGCTGAGCTACTCGAGGCTCACCTGAGTCCACGAGTTGGTGGTCACAGTGAGCTGGGATTCTGTCGCTGTACCACTTCACTCCAGCCTGGGAAACAGAGACCCTATTTCTAATTAAAAAAAAAAGAACGTAAAAGTTTAAAACTTTAGGATAGTAGTCACCTTTGTGGGAAGGGAAGAGGAGAGTCACTCTGGGAGCTTCAAAAGTGTAGTCATGCTACATAAGAACATTTTGGTCAAAAATGAATTGCTGGGCTGGGCATGGTGGCTCAAGCCTGTAATCCCATCACTTTGGGAAGCCTCTGGGAAGTGAGAGAATCACTTGAGCCCAGGAGTTCGAGACCAGCCTAGGCAACATGGCAAAACCTCGTCTCTACAAAAAATACAAAAATTAGCCCAGCGTGGTGGTGTACACATATGGTCCCAGCTACTCAGAAGGCCGAGGTGGGAGGATTGCTTGAGCCTAGGAGGTCGAGGCTAAGTGAGCCATGATCATACCACTGTACTGCACTCTGGCCTGGGCAACAAAGCAAGACCCTATCTCAAAAAAA